TCTCAATTCATTAGATATTGTCAAAACGTACAAAAGAAATTATTGAATCATTTTTTTATTAAAAAATAACTATACTTTTTCCAATATAATACAAATTATTTACTATGAATATTTTTTTAATATTATAAAACCAATTTATCTAAAAAATAATAATTAAAATAATTTTTTAAATGAACCAATCAATTATGCAAATATAGTTTTTATGCTAATTTTATCGATTATTATTTTGTAAATAAATATATAAAGATCAAATGTATATACTTTTAAAAAAATAATCTTCTCACCAATATTAAATAAGAATAAAATTTTATTTTTTTATTAGTTAATTTTTATGCAAATCTATATATTAATTGTAACTTTATTTTTTGGATACATTTTTATATAAAAAAAATAATAAGTATTTTTTTTGAATTCTTAATTAATATTTTAGGTTTAAATTATTATAAATTTTTATTTAAAAATCCCTAAATAAAGAAAAATAAATCATATTTTTTTTAAGCAAAAATTTTATGAAAAAAATAGTAATGATTAAATAAAAAAATTAATGAAAAAATTATAAAATTTTGAAATGATTTTGTTTTATCTATCCGCAACGCTTCGCGGATAATTTCAAAAATTAATTTTCTCATCAGTATTAAATAAGAATTTTTTTTCATTTTTATTTTTTATAAAAATCTATCTATTAATTATAACTTTATTTTTTGAAATACAATATTATGAAAAAAAAATTTCTAAAGTTTTTTTTTTAATTCTTGATTAATATTTTAGTTAAAATTATTACAATTTTTTAGTTTAAAATCAATCCATAAAAAAGAATGGATTATGTTTTTTTTAAAGCAGAAAATTTATGACAAACATTAGAAAAAATTAATTAAATAAAAAATGATAATTTTAACTATTATAATTAGATCATACAGACTCAACTAATTTCTTCTCTTCCACGATTTCTTTTAAATGGATTTGCCTAACACTTTGATGTATAAATTCAGGTAGTTGGCATCTTCAGAAAATAATGTTTCCTAATTGATGGCAAGCACTCCCATAAAAGTAGGACTTAGCAGATAATTACTGCACGATGGACTCTATTTTTTATATGAGTGAGGGAGCAATACACGGAGAACATATAATAATTTTTTGACAACCAAGAAAGGCATGTTGATCCCTGCCCTAGTTTTCCCGTACTAAACATTTATGCAACAAGATAGCTCGATCTTTGCATGTGAGTGAAACAAGACGTCATAAATCACCTCCAAAGTTGTTGTGCTTCAGCCTTTTAACTTCATCTTCTACTTGTGGATGTATTTTTAATGCTTTATTAGTGTCGGTTGAGACCTCATGCAAATGGAGAAACAAAACAGGGGGAAAACAAGAATATATACTGCAAATTGCCACATTAGCCCTTAGAAGGACCGCAGCGGATGAGCAAGCACCAAGAGCTTGGTGCCAGCTAGTGGCTAAGAATTAGGCGGCTCCTGGAGGCCTGAAGATTGAAGAACAGTCATAGAAAAGGATTCTTCTTGGCTATATATTCCTGCTTTAGCTTCAGTCAGACTAAAACGATCAAAAGATTGTCCTACAGTAAGCTTAGCATATTGAGCACGATTGAACATGTGTGTTGCCCATGTAAAACAAATGCAGTTGTATTTGTTTTTAACAATTTGAGCTGCAATATAATTCAAGGTTTGCTTGTCAAGACCCGCAGCCAGCATTGGACCTAAATAGGAAGGCCAATTGACACAGACTAGCTTCACCCACAATCCATCTCTTTTTAGTTGATAAATTAATGTATGGAATAACAAGGGATTACATGCAGACAGAATGTGACCAAGAGAATGACGTGAAACGTTTCGCCCAACATCTTCAAGGATGGGAACCTTGAAGTAGCTTGTTATCTTGTTTTTGATATATATATATATATATATATATATATATATATATATATTAACAAAAACACTAAAAAATAATGTAAGTTCACGGTACGTGCTTTTCCCTGTGCATATAAACACAGTAGCACTGTGGACTTACACCCAGCTACATTGTTTGTTTAACCATTTTTTTCCCCTCTCTTTTGTGTGCTTCTATAGGAGTTGTCCGAATTTCGTAATTCCTTTTTAAAATTATTCCAAATAAATCAATAGAAAATCTTATGGAATATTAATTTGCTACGTGTACTCTTCTAAACTCGAACATTTTTCAATTGATTGAATCACTCACCTTAAACATTTTGCTTTTTGAATCAATATTGATTAAGAGTTATGGAAATGATGAAAATAATGCAACACTAGACATTCTACTACTACAATTATACATATGCAAAACAAATTTTAAGATAGTAATAATATCCAAAAGTACCCGTTTTATACTCGTAAAGAAAAAAAATTAGCATTTCACTGTAGTTGTGTTTTTACAAAACCACGTCGTTTTCTAAAAGAAATGATATATATATATATATATATATATATATACACACTATGAAAATTCTATGTATTTTTTTCCACTTTGATCCATAGAAATCTATTTTTATACAAAACAGTTCCTACTCTTCGTTTGCGTTACAGCAAGATTCTTGAATGTTAAGGGAGGAGACAGAAGACATGAAAGAGAGGAGGTTTTGATTTTTTGGATTTTTAAGACACATTTGAGCGTGTTTTGAGGTTCAAAATGAGCTTTTATATGTATTTAGGATGATTTTTAGGCGTTTTTAGATGAAAATGTTGTAAAAATTAAGTGTAAAAGGTTAAAAACAGCAGCGTCTATTTTTTTCGGCTACCAAATAGTTGCTAGAAGTTACGGACGGTGGCGACGGAGTTGCATCACCACTGCTAGGAGTGGCTTGAAGGGCAACACGTTAGTTATTTGTATTTATTTTTATCTTTTAATAAATGGGTTGCGCTTCCAGCCCAAGCACAAAGGGCTTGGTTATCTTCAGACCATACACACGGGCATAGTGAACGCCCCAACCCAGCCTCCTTTATTTTTTATGCTTTTTTATTGTTATTTATTATTTGCTTAAAATAAATTTTTCTCGATAGTTGATGATTTATTTTTTTATTTTTTTATAAACTCATTAAATTTAAATAGATTTAACATCCTCTTTTAATTGGATTTTTAAATTAATTAATTAATTGATTGATTTTTTTTATCAAAATGGCACATATTAGTAGAATATAAATTTTTTATTAAATTAAATAAATATCCACAATTAATATTGATTAGCTTGTATTTTACATCTAAATTTTTTAATTAATTAACATATTATAACATATTATATAGACTTACTCATAACAACACATAGATACTATGCTAGTATGTATAACTAGTAGAGCTATGGCCAACACCTTTACAAGAGACACAATGGAGCCAAAAATAAGAGAGGTAAATCCTAAGACCAAAAGATTACAGATTGGCAAGGTAAATTAATCCTAAAAAATTGCAGTTTAATTAAGAACTCCATTGATACAAGATGAATTCTAATTTATGATAAGAAAGAGCCAAAACTCTCACACACACATATTTCTTGGTCTTTTAGTTTTAGGTACTTCAGAAAGATCATCTAATAGATAAAAACTCTTGGTCCGTGATTGGAAAAAAAAAAAGAGCAAGAAACTACCGCACCGAGATGTATGTATCATCCAAAGGGATACAACTACCCTTCGCTCTAAACATTTATACATGCATTAGGAGAAACAATCGAACAAGTTGGAAGATTATGAATAAGGAATCACTTGTTGGAACATTACTAGCTAGTCCCAGAATGCCATCCCCTAATCTATCATCCAAAGGGAAAGAAGAAATCCAAAAAAAAAAAAAAAGGAAATGAAAGAGAAAATTTTGCCATGGCTAAGTGATGATTATATACCTGGATATGTGCTATAATAGTGTTACGTTATTCTAATGTGGCACCAGCAATAGAAAATGAATCTTGCTTGTCAATGCTCCATTCCGAGCGTTGGTAATTAATCTTGCTAACAACGGGTTGTTGTTTTCACAATTAATGCTCGTTTAAGTTTCTCATCAGCATTCCTGCCTCTTGTTATACTGGTTTCTCTCTCTTTTGTCTTCCTTCTTGTTTTCTTTTGGTGCTCCTTAATTATGCCCCTCTTGGCCTCTTGGCTGTTTTGGCCTTATAGCATTTACTTTCTCTGTAATTCTTTTTATTCCATAAATCTACTCATCTTTATCAAAAGAAGCAATAACTAGTAGTTCTTTCGACTGAACTAGCATCAAAGCTGGATGTACATGCCTTGAGTTCCGCAGTTAGAGCAACTTTTATCTAGTGGACTTAATATAACTCATGGCTTCTTGATGGGTTTTGTGAATAAATTAGAGGGGAGAAAAAAAAAAACAAACGGAGACGGAAGGTGGGGAGGAGAAAAAAAAATGATAAACTTGCTGTGCCGACCATGTCATGTTCTAAATAGAATTTTTATGTGGATTTTGGTAAATGAGCAGTTTGAGATTGGAATTTAGATAGGCAGAATTAAGTTGAAGGTACAGTAATTTAGTTTAACATAACCACAATAGCACACATCACCCTTTTTTATTTTTTCTTTTCCGTAACACTAAAGATGATTTCGGATTAGTTTTTCTATATTTTAAAAACAATTTTTTCTTGAACTTAGCTAAAGGAGATTTTTTTGACCTATGACATCTAACGATAAGAATCGAATTCTAAACCTAACTTATAAATTAACGCTTGTTTATTATCGGACTTCCACGTTATGATTATAACGCATATCACTTTAAACTGTAATATCACATACAAGATGGTTGTTATATTATTATTTTTTTATAAGAAATTAGATAGAATAAATTTGTTCAGGTATCTTGTGGTTCTTGTTCTCAATATCGTATTTATTGTCTTAGAATATGTAAAAGCGTCCTACAAGGGGAGGGCAACGCATCCCCACAAGTTCAAAGGACCTGTCAATTATTTACTATTTATTTTCCATTTGATCAGTGAGGTCACGTTACTCCACTCAACTCTTCGTCATCACAATTCATACGTTTGTCAAAGCAAGCTCGAACCATTGGCTTGTTGAATCATCCTTGCAGTTAGGATCATCCCAGACACAAATGCACTTCCTAGTGACAATTTTCTTTGAAGATTCCATGTGTAAGCACAAAAATTCTCCCCCGTCATCTTTGGCAGCCAAGTGAAGTTTAGAGACGGAAAGTGAAGTCCAAGTACTTTGTGGGCTTAAGCAGTCAGTAGAGAGAATTGGTGCGACCCCATCACCAACAGCTTTAAGGCATAGACTGCTGTTCTCCGTCAGCCTAATTGGAGCTCCATTTCCATCGTGAATCCACTTGCTCCACCCGCCATTGCAAGTGCTTGCATAGATTTCTTTCTTTTTGTTCCGTATACAGCTGCCGGTTTGTGGATGGTACATTATGTAGGATGCAGTTGAATTTTTATCTGAGTCTGCATAAAAAAAAGTGATTAATTTTATAAACATGCTAAAGAATATTTTAATTTTAAATCAAATCTAAAAGAACGTATTTGGTGTGTGGTGAAAAGTTTGGAAGAAATATGTTATAGTTTAAAATTTTAGGATTAAGTGTTAAAGGTACAAAAGTGGTAAGAAGGGAAGCGTCAAAGATATTTGGTAGGATTTTAAAAAAAATTAAAAATTAATTTTTAAATAGAATATAATTATATATATATATATATATAAAAACTAAATTATTATCTGTTTGTGGTTAAAAATGGATAGTTTAAGGGGGGAAAAAAAGTTGGTATTAGATTGAAAAATGGGGGAGACACAAGAATAAAATTTGCCCCCCTCCAAAATTTCTCTGTCCCTGCCGAGGTTAACGCGCGTTGAAACTTATCCTCGTCGAAATTTTTCCCCCGTCCAAAACTTATGCCAAACACAAGTAAACCTTTTTTTTTGGTTTTTATTCCTATAATAAACTTATCCAGAAGGTAAGTAACTTCTAGAAGCTTTAGCCAAAGAAATTTTTGTAACATGACCAATAAAATGATAACATTTATATAAACTTTTTCAGCAATATTTCATTCCTACGCTATCTGTAACATTTTTCATATCAATATCCATCTGCAATGTTTTTTTTTTAAAAAAAAAAGAAGCCATTCATGAATGTAATCTACTCTTTCGATAGACGTATCTTGATTTTACATATGATTGTACCTTTGATTTGTATAAAAATGAAAACTCATTGGTTTCTTGAAAATAAAGAACGTCATTAAAAAAAAAACAGAGTTTGTTGATTGGTAATATTATTGACGAGAAAGCATGCAATTATAAAATGTTTAAGATACCTTGAATTTTGGTCTTCATAAGGCGTAACCTCTCTTGTATTTGGGGATTTCTAACACGACTCCAATTAATATCCAAGATGCCATAATACTCCTCCATATTAGTTACATTTTCTCTAAAATAATAGCTTCCTTGCAATGCCCACAAGCCCCAATCCAAGTCTCTCGCGATGGCATAAGCAGAAAAGCAGCTCAAGAAGCGTTCTTCAGCCGGACTTGTCTCTTTTTCTTTAATGCCAAATTCACCAAAAAATAAAGGAATTTGGTTTTCACCATTAATGACAAAACCAACCTTGTCATCTAGGCTCTGTATTTGATCGGCACAAACCTTATTCACTTGCTGTTCAACCCATGCATTACTAAATGAGTACAAATGTGCCTCTAACACTAACTTGTTATCAAAGTTAGATCCTAAGGACCTGGCCTTCAAGAAAGTAAGATTTGTGGCATAGCTTAATCCCGAAGCAATTAACAGCACATCTGGATTTAGCTCATGAATACTTTTTGCTGCTTCTTGAATGTATCGATACCAATCATCTGCGTTTTGACGGGGACCTCGTAGCTCGTTGCGTAAGCCGATCCCCACAACCTACGGTACATTGAAGTGGTTAGACTTTATTGTCTATTTTTGTTCAAATAAACTGTTCGATGCCTATTTGGATTGATTGATGTGTGTTTGTGTACGTGTATGTAACCTCTTAATTAATTAGTTTTACCACACAAATTTTTTGACAAAGCCAAGGTTTTGGGAATTATGCTTAGGTCTCAATTTTAACGAAACAAAGATTGGAATTTCCCTTTGTGATTTTATATAAGAGAATAATTTCCAGATGTGATTATGCGTTACTCTTGTATGCACCTATATGCATGGTGAGGAATTTGCAAAGCATTTCTATTTTAGAGCGTAAGAAAGTTTAGCTTGATGCATGTACCTGAGATTTACCCCTAAAGCGCTTTGCGACTGTTGTTAGACCTCGAATCCATTCCTCCGGATGAAAATGGGGATCGTTCATAAACCCATTTCCGTCACTGTCACTACAGCACCATATGGGCAAGCTGACATGGTTATCAAGCACCAACATCAGCCCATGCGACCCAAGCACATCAACTACAGTTTCGAAGGCCTGAAGAAGAGTCATGCGTAGCACAAAAGGGTTGTTCTCGGCTATTCCTGCTTTGGCTTCAGTCAGGTTCAAACGATCAAAAGATTCTGCTACAGTTAGCTTGGCATATTGAGCACGAGTGAACATGAATGTTGCCCATGTAAGACGAATGCAATTATATTTATTTTTAACAACTTGAGCTGCTATATAATTCAAGGGTTGCTTGTCAAGACCCTCAGCGAGCAGTGGTCCAACGTGGGAAGGCCAATTGGCACACACTAACTTCACCCTTTCACCTGTTGTTTCATCGATAATCCATCTCTTTTTAGTTGATAAAGGGAATGAATAACAAGGGATTACGTGCAGAAAGAATGTTACGAAGAGAATGGCTTGAAGCGTTTTGCCTAGCATCTTCAACAATGTGATAGGAAACCTTAATAGCTTATGATCTCAGTTTTGCTATGTCATATGTATTTACTGGTTCATTTATGAGCACACAAGGGAGCCAAAAATAGCAAATTATCTTCAAAGTTATCAAAAGAGAGAATTTAAAGTTGTAAACAGCAAAACTGACGGGGAGGGCGTCCCGAGTAAAAGATTGACATGCAAGGTAAACCCAAAAGGATTTCAACTTAGATGGGAAATCATCAATGAAAGATGAGATTCTGATTTAAGGAAAGTCTACAGCTGGCATGCAAGAAAATAGGAAATTCAAACTCTACAGAAAACATATACACGCCGAACAAAATGCATGCCAACTTCTCCTTGCAAGTATGCAAGATGGGGATCCCTAACAAGACCCAGAATTGGCAAGCTGTATTACCAAAGAAATGCACATAAACAACCTTCATGCCAACGATTCAATCCTGTCAATCGAACAACTTTCTTGGTCCTTTTTCTTGTTAAATGTTGAAGGATTGAAAACAGTAAATTCCTGCTTCCTCGGAACTTGAAAATGAAGATCATTGAAGATGTGTTTAGCATTCTTAAAAGCGAGCAAGCAAGCGGGAAAATAAACATATGCTTTTCAGAGGAAAAAAATAAATAAAGAAACATATTGAAGAATCCCTGTGGTCAATAAGGAATCAAAACTTGGATCATTAACAAGCAAGTCACAAAATGGCATCCACTAACCCCGCCAAACGCCCTACTCTGTCATCCAAAAGGGGGATCTGAAAAAGGAAATGAAATAGAAAAAATTGCAGCGACTCCAAGATTAAAGGAAGCTTTGCTATAATATTACAATATTCTAATGTTCTGCAAGCAACAGACAATGAACCCTGCTCGTCAATGTTTCACTTTTTTGCAGTGACTGATCTTGCTAACAGGTGGTTGCTCTCACGGTGCTTATTTAGATTTCTTGTCAGAAACCCTGCCTCCCATGATCTTAACAACAGGTAGTTCTTTTGACTGAACAAGCTTCAAAGCTGGATGTACCTTGAGGTCTCCCATGAGCAACTTTTGGCCCACGTCCAATTCGCTAAGGTCCACATCAATATATGGAGGAATCAAGTCAGCAGGGCAAAAGAACTTCACAGTCCTCTTAATAGTATTCAAATATGCACCTGCCAAGTTTGTCAAGTGACAATATGGTTCGATCAACCAACATCATTTTAATTAATTTGGAAGACAAATGAAAAATCAATGTTTCTATGCACAAAACAAATTCAAAGTGAAAAATGAGGGAGTGCTTCTAATCATAAATTATGCAGCAGTGGCAGGGGTATTGTTACTGGAGACTGCTCCTTCATAAACATACCTACAGCAAGAAGCAAGAGGACAATTTACTAACTATTATTGGGTAGCTTGGTCCTGTGAAAAGGTTTTAACATGATATACGTGCAACACTCTTCCTGCTAATGACTATCAAAACGAGGACTGTAGTTGATGGTCACAAGACAATTTTTTTTCCTTTTTCCTCGTGACTGAAACTTAATAAAGCACCTTTTCCTATAACTACTGCAGCTGTCAACCAATTACTGAGATAGATAATGATGCAAAATGCTGTGCCCAACCATTTCCGACTGCTAGATGTATAGATGGGAAACAGCATCTCCCAGAAGTTATAGAAGATGCCAATACAGAAGTCTACAAAAACTACATGAAAAATCTGCAAAGAAGCAATTCATTCCTAGAATATCTTTTGAACTTTGTATCAATTAAGAGTATGGTTACAGAGTTTATCAACTCGAACAACGATTATGTCGTTCCTGTGGTTGGTAGGTACGAGTAACAAGTTCAGGCACATGCTACAAGTTACAAATTTTGAAAGAGGTAGGAGTAAATGCATCGAGCTTGCTTGTCTTTCATGTAACTGGCACTTGCAGGTGCCAAATTCACAGAGAGAGGCAGGACTCAACCTTTTTCCAGAGAGGTGCCCTTGAGAAGCACCTAGATTGCCTCTTAGAAAGTTAACTACAAAGGGTGATTTGATGCTGAACAGTTAACTTCGACAAAGGTACTGGATTCACATTTAGTTCACCATAAATATGAGAAGCAGATAGGTCTACAGGAGATAATATTCTACAACATTTATTCTGTTTTTATTTTCGCTAGATAGCATTACTGAAATCTACAACCCTAGCAAACTAACTCAGTCTCAGGATTCCTAAGCTGATTATTGCTCATCATGCATAATAGCGAGCCTTTGATATGGGGGGTGGGGGAATCACATACATGTCAGAGAAAGAACGTGATCAATCAGGGAGTTTGATGCTCTTAAACCTATTAAAACGTTCAACACATTCTTAAACAATGTTAAGATTACAAATAAAAGGATACAGCAAAAACATGTATTCTTGAAACCAAGACAGTTTAAATTCATACGCACAAAAAACAAACCCAGATTTTCCAAATAAAACCCAAAGAAGAAGCTCGATGTGATTATTAAGACAGTTCATCGAGAGAATGGACGACCTAAGTGACAAATAAACCATTATACTGCAAAAAAGAGCAAATGACTAACCTTTCCTAAGTCCAGGAGATATGTCATCTCCCCTGAAAACAAGGGGAATATCAACCTTCAATAAAGCATGAGAAGGTGCCCTTATAAAGGTCACATTAAGCGGCTCATCTGTTCCGGCATGCAAATGTACCTGCCACAGTTCAACAAACCATCAATTCCAAATAAACACTGATATACCACTTTCAAGAACAAACGAGTGAAAAAAAGATAACACCAACAATTCCCAATCAGCTCTTCATCCATCGAATCCACTCACTACACTAAATTTCTATGCAACCAAACACAAAATTTCTCCACCTTTGCTAATTACATTCTGAACAAAATTAACACAACACACAGCATTAAGCAATCAATTAAAAATACCAATCTACGCAAGACTCAAAACTTTTTCAACACTCTCACCGAAAGCTCTTCACTATTTTGTAGCATTTCCTCTTAAAAAACCAAAATTTCAAAAACATTAAAAACAAAAATAGCAACAGCCCACAACATAAAACAAGAGAACTAAATATACCAATCTCGGCAAGACTCGAACTTTTTCAATAAACTCATCGGACTCGAACTGAGGTCTAACATCAAGCTCAAAAAGCCTGGACAAAAAGAAAGACCTGCCGAGCTTATTAACCAAGTTCCTAATCCGATTTTTTTGCACTGAAATCAGCCTTTTATTACCGCCATGTTGTCCATCTTCTTGTTCAAAAACGATACTTGGTACTCTCCCTGCTTTTCGCTCTTTTGCTGACACATTTTTGCCTGAAGCTGAGCGTGGGATTGCAGATATTGTTTCTAATGGGCCGGTTTTTGGGAATCCATCGAGTGGGGCGGTTTGGATTGTGGGTGGTTCTTCCGTTATAGCTGCGGCAGCTTGAGAGAATAAGCGGCGTTTGTGGTGAGGGTGGAGAGTTTTGGTGGTGAGTGCTAGACCGTGGAGTCTATACATAATGAGAGAGTGAAGTGGGGGGTTTTAACGGAGGTTTTTGTGGTTTCGGGAAGAGAAGTGAAGGGTTTTACAGAGGAAAGCGGTGGTGGTATGGGTCCAATGGGAGAAATGTGGATGGTCCGGTTGTGAGTTTGGGTAAAATCGGCTGGGAACGAAACGGATCCGTATTGGATAAGAATTCAATTTATGTTTTTCAATTATTATTTTATTTTGAGCAATAAGTATTTATAGTTATGAAATAATAAATGTCCATGATTATTTTTAATCTCATAACTAATCATATTGTTTAATGAAATTCAATTCACTATTATTATGCATGATGACACAAGAATTGAAAGATAATTTTTTAATCATTTTCAATTCTCTTTCTAATCATAAACCCTATAAATATGATAGATTATTAATTAATTGATAAACTGTTTTTATAGAGATTAAGAGAATTGTTTGAAATTGCTATCACTTGTATTCACTTTATTTCATAGTAAAATCATCCTTTTCTCCAATTCTATTATTGTTATTATTTTTTTTATAACATATTATAAGCACGAAGCTTCAACCAATTGAGATAATAGAATATAAAATATATACATACTAAAAAATTCAATCATTTATTTCAATCATCTGATTGCTTCTTTACACAACAGACTCTATCAAAAAATATAAATTATTTAAAATATTAAAAGATACGTATCTAATTTATCATTTATTTTAAATCTAACGATACATAGAATATATGTTTGAAAAACTTGAATGATCTAATGTATATTATTTGAAAATTTTAAATTTTATTATTATTATTATATTTATTCTTATTTTCTAACATTATTATTACATCTTCTATTATAGAATTTTTATCATATCAAACCTTTGATTTTGTGGCCTTTGATATTTCGAATAAGAATTATTTATCATGGGTGCTTGATGTCTCGAATATGCTCTTGCAGTAACAATATTGTAAAAAAAGTTTGAAGAAATAATCTGAATTGATTTCATATTTACTTATGGTTGAATAAAATAAAAGTCGTTGATAAAAAATCATGAATTTTGTTCAATTAGATCTATTCCATTCTTTGAAGTGAATGTGACAATTTATAATAATTCTAGGTTGTGGACATGTCTATAATCATGGTCAGAATAATTATCTTTATAATTGTGGTTATGAATTTATGATGACCATAATAACACACATCACTAACTACCGAAGTGAATAGATTAAAAAAAAATGACAAAAGAATAAAAGTTGATTAAGTTAGAATTTAAAAATGAATGTTATAAATGTAATATGAAGGAACATTGGTTCCGTACCTATCGTACACCTAAACACCTCTTTGAGTTTTATCAAGCCTTATTGAAAAATAAAGAGGCAAAATTTTATATATCAAAAAGATGGTAATTAAGATTAATAACTTGTTAGCTTTTTTATTTATAAATAAGATGTTTTATATTTTCTTATAATTCCTATTGCATAGTGATAGTTACAAATTTATTTTACTATATATTTATTTTATTTTTTTGTTTTGTGTTTATAAAAACTATATTTATTTATTTATTAAATTATTTATTTTTTGTTAATACTATATCCGATGGTATTAATCTAATAAAAAGCTTAAGGAGAGCAAATATATTATTACTTAAAGAGAAAAATTTTGAAAACTTTAGAATGACAAATATATTATTACATGAAGGGACAAATTTTATTATAAATGATGCATTATTTTCTTCTAATAAAATTTATTATAAATGATGTATTATTCTTTCCTAGGTCCCATAAAAAATTATTGAGTTTCAAAAATATTTATCTAAATGAATATCATATCGAGACAACAAGAGTTGAAAATATTGAATATTTATGTATTACAATAATTACATTGGATAGAAAACATATATTGGAGAAATTATCTCGTTTTCTCTTTTGGCTTTTATTACACAAACATTCGAATGATTGAAACAACCGTTATCGTAAACCAAAAATTTACTAAATCTTTTATTCCGTGGTATGATCAATTGGCCTATTATGGTTCCATCATGATGCAAAAAATAATTAAAAATTCATATGAACATCTATTGAAGAGCCATTTTTCAATCAATTGAATTTTCATATTCTGCATGTTTTCAAGGTAAATTAATTATTAAGTTATCACAAAGTAAAATTGAGATTGAATCCTTACTATTTTTAGAATACATTCATTGTGATATATGTAAACCAATTCATCCATCATATGAATCATTTAGATATTTTGTAATTTTAATAGATTTATCTACAAGATAGTCATATGTATACTAATTATCTACTCAAAACCTAATGTCTTTTTTTTTTTTTTTTTTATCGCGAGCATAAGTTTTTGATTATACTATTAAAATAATTCGTCTTGATAATGTCGTTGAATTTACTTTTCAAGCATTAAATGATTAATGCTTGCTATTAGAATACAGAGTTGAACAACCTTTTGCTCGTTCATACTCGAACGGTTTAATAGAATTATTTATCAAAAAACTCTAATTAATATTTAGACCATTATTTATGAAAACAAAACTCTCTATTTGTGTTTGATAACATACAATCTTATGCAGCAATACTTATTTCCATAAGACACAAGTTATTAAAAATTTTCCACTCTTTAATTGGTTTCCTGTCACTACAAAGCCCTCCACATTTTCTCCAATTTTGGCAAGAAACCAATTGGTTTATTCCAATCTTGTTAATTTGTAGGCTTTCTGCTTTTTCTGCAATGATTATGTACACATTGCATGGAACAGACTCATCACAAATTGCTTTTTCTGCTTGCTTGCTTGCTTTATTTTTTGTTTCTCACAACTCTAGCTAGGCCAATTGGTCAAGAATTATGCACTTTCCTTTGTTAATTTCACACGTGTATTCAAGAAAATTCTAAAACAAGTATGATTAGTTGTTTTAATTTGAGCCAGTCCTCTTGGGACTAGAGGCCAGCTATTAGTTTTCTATTGAAAACTATTGCATGAATTTGTGATTTTTTTTTTTTTTTTTGGTTTTTTTGCAGACTTGGCAGTAAGAGGTTACAGTTGTTGAAAATAATTTTGAAGTCTAGAACATTGTAAAAATGAATTTCTAGAAAAATCAATGAGTTTCCCGGAAAGTCAATATTAATTATTCTAGATACATACATATAATGTGCAGTAACATCATAACTTTATCATCTCTACTTTAGTAATTAGTACTGGAGTGGTATGTTTTAATTTTCTTTATTTCCCCAGCATGATTTCTTTTGTTATCAAATTCTTTTCATTCTTTTTCGGTGGCTAAAATAAAAGAAACAACTTTCAAATTTCATATGCCAAACATTTGGCATATCTATTTTCACATTTTGATCCTAACCCCGTACATGCAATGTTATTGAGCCTTGAATTGGTTGTGTTGCATGGGAAGAGACAGTAGGTTGCCTAGCTTTCATGTATGTATCGTCTTATATCGAGATCATAAATTGAACAACTAAATCTTGCTTTATCTCCTCTTATGCCCAAGATTTTCTTGTGAAAAGCTCCAATGTCCATTTACTTAAACCTAGATTCACATATGCTGTAAGTGAGCCATAAAAATATACAAGTAAATGTTTTCAAGCTTATTTCTTGTTTCTTAGATTTTCTTGTTTGACAGATCCTACGTTCTGTTGCTTTTGGATGTGACTTACTGTTTCGATCATTTAATTATGCAATCCATAATACATAATGATGAAGTTAGTCAAACCAGTCTAGAAAAATAGTCTAGAAAAAACTGCCACAACTACCGAAACACAATAGAAAGTAAACAGAAAATCATAATCAATCAGGCATATTTCCTTTCAGAATCAAGAGCATCCATTCTCTTGTCGAAATTGAGCCAAAGAGTTCCCTGTGTTTTCTCATTTTGTTGAAAGCCCAAAGATTTCTGTGTGTTTCCCCCTTTCTTGATTCAATGCACCTACGTAATGTATAAGGTTAAAACAGATTCAGATTTGGTTATCATAGTGTTTTGGAGATTAAGGGCAATATTATGAACCTAACATGTCTATTCATTAGTACTGTGGCTCATAGGTAGCACACGGTTTTCCCCATATCAGGCTAAACAGATGGCTCACTAGTGCCCAGCTTATACGATGAGTTATTATTCCACGAAATATGGGCATAGGCCTTTTAGTTGCTGTTAATTCAGGCACCAGAAAAGCTCAAACTAAAAAATGATTCATACTATCATTTCCCAGATAAAACTCACCATTTTTCCTCCCATATAAAAAATGATTGGTCAAACTAAAAAATGATTCATCCTATTTCCTCCCATATGAAAAATGAATCAAGCAATGAGAATTTACTCTAGTTTATGGAATGCAGATGACTGGGGCTACAAGAGGTGGTTTGGTCAAGACTGATTGGTCGCAAGCTCCTTTTACTGCCTCTTACAGGGACTTCGATGCTGATGAGGCTTGTGTGTGCTCTAATGGTGCATCTTCTTGCGGTACAAATTCCTCCCCTCCTGCAGCCTCCTCCGAGACCAGCTCTTGGCTTTCAGAAGAGCTTGATTCAACAAGTCAAGAGAGATTACAGTGGGTCAAAAACAACAATATGATATACAATTATACAATTATTGCACAGATGCTAAGGGGTTTCCTCAAGGATTTCCTCAAGAATGCAGCATGTAGGGAGATAAGTAGACAGAGTCACACAGCAGGACATAGATTTTAATACTTAAATTCTTTCTTCTTTTTTTCTCATCACACAAATTACAGAAAAATGTATGATTTTTTTTTTTATTATTCCAATGTTTTCCAATAATATGTGTTGAATTAAAGAACTTGTATTATATTATCCCAAACTTTGTGATTCACCTTTTCTTTTTTTTTACCCATTAAAACATATACCAAACAATTTAAAACTCAGACCTGAAACCTTATAAAACGAAGTATCAACTTTAATTGTTAAACCTTATGATAGCAAAACTTTCAGCAAGCAAATGAGAGAAGATAGAATTCAATAAGACACCTAATAGCAGA